CATAATATTCCAAAGTCGAGTTTCCCCACCACACGCCTGATTGTTTATTACAGGAATAGAGTTGCTCAAATTTAATTTGTCACTTCCGTTTTTAAAGGCTTTTTTCTTATGCATCAAAATGTCATTTCTCAAATGGTTATTAATACTGGCTTTTTAAAATAAAGCAGCAGGATGACTGAGATGAACAGCAACATATTTATCAGCAGAAACATAATAGATTCAGTCATAGCATACTGCAGGGCTGAGCTGTATAAATATGAGTCAGTCAACATGAACTAAAGTTGCATCAATCTGGAGTTTGATTTAAAATCATGCATAAAAGACAGATTGGTGCCGAGCCTCAATAGACAAGAAAAACAATTAATATTTGGCTTTGGAAAGTGCAAAAATTTTTGAAATGTAAAAAACTTTGCTTTTCAAACTGTTTTTTCCACATATACCCTGGCAATCACAGTTCAACATATAGAGCAATAAACATGTTTGAGGAATATGAATAAGGAAAAAAAATGCAAAAATTTGCTTCTTCTTTTTTTAACTAATATAATGTTGAAGGACCTTCAGAAAACAATTGGCAAGAAAAAAAATCATATTGACTTGATATACAGCTAGGTATATCACATTTATTCATTCATATCTTTTAGCTAAAAATGTAGTTTAAATAGAGCTTACAGAAGACCTAAGTCATTTTGCCATATAAAGGTATCAATCAGGAGATGGCTACGAAAAGATTGACTGCAGGCAGTCACCACAAGAGGGGATAAAAAAAGACTTGACCAAAATGGATATGCCTCATAAGTATTTTAAAGCCAAGACGGAGGCTTTTCATGGGGGCCGAGGGCAACCCTGACGCAGTAGTGGGAATCTACAACACTGACTGAGATTTGCATTCTCCTTGCGTTGAGGTTAAGGAATAAGGCTGGGGGAAAAAAAAAAATTTCTTCCAGAAACAACATCCAGGTTTTTCTACAATCTAACTAAAAAAGTGGGAGAATGTGTGCTGATCTGATTAAACTACATTTGGAAATTCAAGCAACAATTCCCAAAGCGATGTTTGGCGTTCACCTCGTCCAGAGTGAAACATTGCAGCATCATATTCTGGGGTTACTTTTTCCCAACAGAACTAAAGCGTCTGCTAAGAATTGGGAGTTAAATAAGGTGAGTTTTGACTTAAAACCTTCTGGTCTCTGCAAAGCTGAATATAAATAACTCAGCGTTTTTGTAAAAACAACAAACAAAAAAGAAAAGACATTGAAACTGAGAACAGGTCAAAATTCATTTCTTTTTTTTTTTTACATTCTTTTTGACGGTGAAACAAGTTTAAAACTGTGTTTTAAAGCTTCTCATTCTTTATGTCAAGTTCCAGTTTGAAGTGCCTCATACACTTGGTCTTGCCTTCATACTTCATGGGCTTACAGTTTAAAATCTCCTAAAAACATTGAAAATATTGAAAATATCGGGGCAGGTTTTAGTTCTGAGCACAGGTCCAGTGTGTTGACATTGCAGGAAAAACTCAAGTTTAAGGTTTTGAGCTTTGATGATAAATTGAGAAGTGCTTTTTGCTTGGGTTGCCGCAGCAGACAGGAGCACACACACGCACACGCACACACACGCACACACACACACACACACACACACACACACACACACACACACACACACACACACACACACACACACACACACACACACATGCGCGCGCGCAAACACACACCCCCACACGTGTATGTAAAACACCAGTGCAAGTGAGCCTGCCTGCCTCTCCACAGACTTGATAAGCTATAAACACAGCAGACACACACTTCCTGTCCTTGAGGGAGCAACATTTCTCACTCTCTTATCTGTGAAGTAGCACGTTTGTCCAGGAAGATTCCCTTCATGCTCAAACGCAGTGAATGTCTAACGTTGTAAAGAGTGAAAAGAGCTTGGAATATATATATATATTTTAGTTAAGTTAGAAAGTAAGTTAAGTTTATTTAAACATAAGCCTTCACATAAAGAGTCACAATAATAAAACATGATTACATTAAATCTGAAATAAGAGAGAAAAATAAGATACATTTTGTTTCCCCCCGATCAATTGAAGGTTTTTTTGTTGACACATATAAAGGAAAAGAAATGATTTTGGATATAAACAAAACTTTAAATGTGGCTACGCTTCAAGTTTAAAAGTTCAACCTGTTGCTTGATGAGAGGAGCGACGCTCTCTGGGGTAAAGACGGTTTTCACAGACTTCAGTTGTACGAGCTGAAGTTATTGTTGAACCACTCGTTCCTTGTAAGTCAGAGTTTGAAGAACTAGAGATCTTTTTTGGTGCAGTAAGATGATTGTCATCAGTATGAAAGTGATCAGAGATACTACAAAGTATCCAAATGTCTAAATGGGAGGAAATTGAGCTGAAAAATCTGACTTGTTTAGTTAGTTGGGTATTTTTTTTTTTTTTTACATATTTTTGTTATGCAACTCATCAATTGTTCATTATTATAATTATTGTTGTTGTTTTGTTAAACTACATCCATATGTGACAAAGTCCTTTTGTTTTAATTTATTCATTCTTATTTTGTAGTTAATCATAATACCTTAGTTTAAATATTGCTCTTGTACCTTTGCATCACGTTGTGTAGTAGTATTTTACACTTTACGTCCAATCATTCATTTTTGAAGCTGGTACAAATAAATCTTCAGATAATTTGACATTTTCTGCATTTAAACGGTCAATTTCTGGTAAATAATTTCTGTTGATTGTTTTTAACATGCACCTCTTGACTGTTCTCCCATAAATGTTCTCCTTGCCCACCGTGACTCAGAGTTTCAGCTCCAGCTGAGCTTTCCCTCAGTTGGATTTCCTTTAGACTTTATTTTCTCTGCTCTGGCCAGAAAGTGGAAACCTCCCAGTGGGTAAAATCATGACTGTGACTGATTGTAAAACTCTTCCTGTAGGGGACTGTTGACCTGTCAACTTTTTAAGAAATAAATAAATAAATCTCTACAGTAGAACATGCTTGAAAAAAAAAAACAAACCTTATGCATTCGCCACTAGGTGGCAGTAAAGAACCAAGAAATATTTGCAAAGAAGAACAAAGCAAACCATCATTTTGTTCCGTTTATTCTGAGTAAAAATATAAAAGATGAGTGCAGAAAAGGTGCGACAAGGTGGTATTGTTGCAGGCCAGGCAGAGCTATCTTTCTCCAACTGGCTTTGGGGTAAAAAAAAATATCTGTTCAGACTTTTAACAATGGATGTATTCAGGAAAACCTAAGGGAGACATCCTGCTCGCTCAGATATCTCCTGAAAGTGGCACACATCCGTTAGATACTGAGCGAGTTTGCCAGACACGAAACATTTTTAAATGCCAGATAAGATTTGATTCTGTCATGCCTGCGTCTTATCTTTATTCGAGTGAGCGCCGCGTTAAAGCTCATTCTGTAGTGTTCTGCTGCTGCGTTTGCTCCTGAACTGTCCCTGACCTGAGGAGACCTCCAGCTTTTTCTCAGGCAGGACTGAGATCGAACATGCAAGCTGTGCAGTTTTTATATGTGAGCCTCCTTCACACTTAAGTAATCAATTATTGAACTGTAGCACCGAAGTGTGTTCCGCGACGCCCATTTATTCATGACTTTTCCACAGGTCTTCAAAAAGTATACGTGCATTAATGTCACTTTTAGAAACAGATGAGCATAAAGCACTCTGACCAAAAGTCCAACATTACTTCCATCATCATAACTCGTCAGATTACTCTTTTTTTAAATCGTCTCTTGTTCTGGGAGTCCCACCAGGTCGACAGCTTACACATCATATTGCAAAAGTATTTGCAGTCTGTCGACTTTTTACTTTTTGTCCTGTTACAACCATAAACATGTACTTTTTTTTTTTTTTTAAGAATTAGAGGATTTTGTGGACAGCGTGTTCAGGTTGCTTTACAATAATCTTACGTTTGGTATGCAATGTGAAAAAATTCCTTCTCACACAGAAAATGGAGTGGTGTTCTGCACCATACCAAAGGTTTGGCATTAAGTTCAGAATGCATTGAAATGGCAGAATTCCCTAAGTGAGTAAAAAGATAACATAAAAGATTTATTTTTTAAATCTGACTAGAAATAGAAATGATCTCAAAACCAATGAAAAAAAAACAACAACTTTGAAAAAAAGGACATTTTAGAATCTGACCTAAAGCTGACGGTCATGAATGAAAAGAATGTAAAGTTTTCAATCCTTGCACTTTTTTTTTTGTGTGCCAGAGGTTTTCTGTCATACTCTCGGTACTATTATGTCTTTTGCATACTGGATTAACTAAACATTAATTTCTTCCTGAGAACATGCTGTCTCTTATTTAGATATTCTGGTATATTCCATCCGCAGAATAATTTATGCAAGATGTCATGACTAATTCACCCTCAATAATCCTGGGCTTGAGCCTCTGCCCTTTTTATCCTTGATGCCCTAAATTCTCTTTTTTGAGTTTATTTATTCTTATTTATTTATTTTTCTTACTTTTTTTCGATGTTTTATTTGTATGTCAGGAGGTCTGCTTGTGCTCCTCAACAATAGTATTTAGCTAAATAAAACAACTCAGCTAAATAAATTATCCCGGCTTCCCTCGGTCTGATAATGACTCGGAACTGATTTGACAGGAAATTTTTAATTATTCCTGGGTAGTTGTATGTTTATTGTTGGCAATACTGAAACACAACTACTCTTAAAAATGACAAACAAAAAAATAATACAGTTGAAGAAGCTCAGTTTTCTGAGTTCAAGAATGTTCAGAATGATCAGAATTGACCAAAAATAAATTATTGATGTGGATCTATATCGTCACGTTTTGCTTTTTAAACCAGATTACTAAAATATATGGTCCATTAAACGACGCTGTGATTTACTGACCTGTACCAGTAGGACAAACGGGGCAGAAATTTAGAAACTTTTCAAATGTGCGCTGCTCCTTTAAGAGCCCAGAGCCAACGCTTCGTATCCTAGGAGAAGTTTTGTTTACTTCCGGGTTGTCGCTGCAGAGAACACCAACACGCCCTGAACACCGCGCAAAGCGGATTAAGGTCCTGCAGAGATGGCAGAGGAGGCAGAAGACGAGATACCCGGTAAATGCATATAATGAGTGTTTTATTACGGAGGCAGAACGGCGTGTTTCTGGAACATTAGCCTAGCATGCTGTTAGCTGGTAACATCCGGGTAATTAGCTGTGTTAAAACCCCCACACCAGCTGCTGTATTAGCCCATAGGCTAAACGAGACATACATTGAAGTTCCTAATTTCTCCGCCAATTACTATTTCTGCTTCGGGTTTTGTTCTTCTCAGGCGAATTTAAGAGCTCAGTCTTTAAATATAAAAACTTGGGGTTGATGGTCCTGAGCTAGGAGATCAATTTAAATACAAAATACTTTATTGACTCTAAAACGAAAATGAAATGTTGTTGGAACTCTTAAGAATGTTTAAGAACTAATGTTGTAGTTATTAGTTAAACTTCACCAGTTTAAATGCTGAAAACAAGAACTGGAAAGTTTTTCTAATGCAACCACTTGAGAGCATCTGTATTTTACTCAATGTCATCCATCCATCCATCCATCCATCCATCCATCCATCCATCTATTCATCCATCATTCCATCCCTCGAGATGAAGTGTAAAGAGCAGATGAATCTCCTTCCTGGTTGTTTTTCTTGTTTCATTTGTCTTGATTTGATCTGGTTTTCTGTTTTTTGGGGGGATGGATCTCTCCATGTCTCTGTGTTTTCTGCAGAGTCTGGAGCAGTTTTCACGTTTGGAAAGAGTAAGTTTGCTGATGACATGCCCAGTGTGTTCTGGCTGAAGAACGACGTTCCTGAGAGGATCGCCTGCGGAGATGAGCACAGTGCCTTGGTCACAGGTAGACGCTTTTCTTTTCGCTTTTTGTAGCATTGCTGCTGGTCGATGCTGAGCTGCTGCTGCCGCTTCCTCCTCAGGAAACGGGAAGCTCTTCATGTTCGGCAGCAACAACTGGGGCCAGCTGGGCCTGGGCTCCAAGCAGACGGTACAGAAGCCCACCTGTGTCAAAGGTAGGTGGGATCTCCAGGTGAAGGCCTCTGACAGGAAGTGAGGCAGGAAATGACCTGCTCTCTCCTCAATTTTCCAGCACTGAAGGGTGAGAAGGTCCGGCTGGTGGCGTGCGGACGGAACCACACTTTGATCAGCACCGGTTGGTTCCTGACCCCAACCACAGCCCTGATCTGAGGTCAGAGTTCATCCGCTTCACTTTGGGTTTGTTGTCTGCAGAGCAGGGACACGTGTTCGCCTGCGGCGGCAACGGAGAAGGCCAGCTGGGTCTGGGCGACTGCGAGGAGCGGACTGCCTTCCAGAGAATCGGCTTCTTCCAGGCGCATGGACCAATCAAGACGCTGGCTGCCGGGTCCAACACCTCCGCCGCCCTGACAGGTGAGACAACATGACAGGTGATGTTTGGGTTTCCCTCAGTACCTCATCTTCTATTGTCAGCATTTTACTAATTCTTTAAAGTTTATTGAGCTCACATATTTTCTGATATGATCTGATGTACATTATTTAAAAATTACAGTTTTAAATTAAATTGTAAATAAAAATTTTAACTGTATGTTGGATTTCTTGTTTTTAATCAAGAGATATTACATCTTTAAAAGGTTGAAATTATTTTAAAAGCTGAAGCTTGTTCTTTTAAAAAGTGTGATAATACAATAATAATACATTTTAAATGCTTCATTTCTTAATTTTAACACTTCTTATTGAAAGAAAAATCTAATTTAGACGTGATAAAATTTAGACACAGTAGATTTTAACATTTTAAAAATATACTTTGAACAATTTTTAAAAAATAAAAATTTAAATAAGTTTGTTTTATATATTTTTTTATTATTTTTATTGAAACACAATATTACCAAAATTAACATTTTCAAAATTTGTGTGATCATTTTGAGTTTCTTTTCAACATTTATCTTGTTAATATTTACTTTTTTATTTCAACTAGAGTAATAAGTTTATTAATTTCTTATTTTGAACGATTTCTCTGTGAATTAAGCTGGTTTTTGGTGTTTGCTGCGTGGAGATGATTGTTCATTGGCTGTCCTGTAGTGACATTGCCATGGTGACGACATGACCCTGATGTTGTTTGCAGAGGGCGGGAAGCTGTTCATGTGGGGCGAGAACTCTGAGGGTCAGATTGGGCTGGGGAAGCGGAGCCAGGCGACCCGGCCGCTGGAGGTCAGCGTGGGCCGGCCGGTCAGCTGGGTGTCCTGCGGGTACTACCACTCCGCTCTGGTGACAGGTGAGTCTCACCTGGTGACTTGTCTCACCTGGAGGAGACCGGCTGATCTGTGCATGTTTGGCAGCCGACGGAGCGCTGTTCACCTTCGGGGAGCGGGACAGCGGGAAGCTGGGGCTGCGGCCGGAGCAGCTGGCCGGACATCGGGTCCCGCAGCGGGTGGAGAGCATCACGGAGCCGGTGCTGCAGGTGGCCTGTGGCGGCAGCCACACGGTGGCGCTAACAGGTTAGCCATCACACACTGACTGGCGAAGAATAAGAGCTTTGGACATGAACCTGCAAGAAAACACAAAGAAAATGAACAAAATTTAGAAATAATCATTTAGTTTCAGCATTTCTGCCCATTAATGATTTTATAATCTCTTTTAGGAAAGCTGCTTTGCATTTTCTCTTTATTAATAACCTTCAAATTCTATTTTTTTAATATAAAATTTATCCTGCGCCTGAAACGTTCCCTGGGTTAGCACCTGCTGACCCCACTAGGAACAAGGATGTTAGAAAATGGATGGATGAGTAAAATTGATGTTAAAAAATATTTTTTTTGCATAAAAATATTTGTTAAATTTGCCTTCCGTTTTATTTTAACTTTTTAAAATGAATCAAAAGTACTAATATTTTACATTTTATAAAATGTGTTAATTAATAAGAATAATTAAGCTTTACATTTAGTTTTAATTTTAAAAATTTAATAAATATTTATGCTTTACATTTTATTTTCATGTTATCAATGCTTAACAGAATTTATTTTTAAATTTTAAATTACCTATTTATTCATTTTATAATTTGTTAATAAAATATAAGGCGTTTTTTAGATATTTTATCTTATTTTATTAAAATTTTAATAATTTTTCTCTACAGTTAAAATAGTCAGACTATTTTTTGTGTCAGTGCTTTGCAGCATATTTTACTGCTGTGTAGTAACCAGCACAGTGTGTGACCTTTGACCCCAGATGGCGGCGACGTCTACTCGTTCGGTCTGGGTCAGTTTGGCCAGCTGGGCCTCGGGACGTTTGTGTTCGAGTCGCAGCTGCCGCGTCCTGTCCAGCGCTTCCAGACGGGCCGGCCAACCCGGGTGACCTGTGGGGAGAGCCACACTGCCGTCCTCACAGGTGACCTCCGACCTTCGACTGGGTTGGGCTCCCAAACCCCACTCTGACCCCGCGGCTCTCTCCCCAGACACGGGGCTGCTGTACTCATTTGGCGATGGCCGGCATGGGAAGCTGGGCCTGGGCGACCAGAACTTCACCAACCGGTTCCACCCGGCCGTGGTTCCCCGCTTCCTGCCGCTCGCCGTCCAGGCCGTGAGTCGCTGCCATCAGGCCATTAGGCTAGACCGCCATCAGGTCAGCCCTAACCCATCTGCTCCTTCCTGTTCAGGCGGCGTGCGGAGGTTGCCACATGGTGGTTCTGGCCCGGCCCAGAGGACCCGGCTGCTCCGCCATCACGCTGGAGGACAGCGCATTCGACTTTCTGAGGGAACCGACCGATACACTGCAGCGCAGCCTATCCGCCCGGGTCCGCCGCAGGGAACGGGTCGGTTTTGGTGCTGGGGCAGGTCCAAGCAGCTCCAGAACCAGTGTAGGCTGATAGAACCTCCCCATGTCCTGCAGGAACGATCTCCGGAGAAGTTTGGACCCGCCAGAACCTCAGGCGTCCTACAGAAGCCACATCCTGCCTCGAGCCAACTGGACCAGAACCAAATGGACAAGAACCACCGGCCGGTTCTGCTGGCTCTGTCCGAACCGGACCAGAGCCAGCCAAGCCACAGGCTGGTTCTTAACGGGAGCCAGCACTTCGGCCCAGACAGCATCCTTCAGGGTACCAACTTCAGTCAATCAATATATTATCATGAAGATCATTTATCATTACATTTAGTGTTTCCATGGGATCATATTTAGTTTTTTAAAACATCATTTCATCCTTTTTAGTTTCATGAACTGACTCACCAACTTTTAGTTTATTCAAATAAGGAATACAATTTTTGTATCCCTTATTTTTTGTTTATTTTTGCTTAACTCATTTCAGTGTTTTAACTTTTTTTCATTTATTTTAATAAATAAAAAGAAATCTTAATTTTTTTTTCTGTGTTTCACAAAGTTTAAAATAAAATTCATATTAGTATTTAATTATTCTGCAATCAGTTGCTGATGTTTTTATTTTTTCTGCTTTTGTATGTTTTGTTACATTATTTCTTATAACTTCATGTTATATGCATATTTTCAAGTATTTATTCAGGTCTTACTTTTTAAAATTTATTGTTAGTCACCTAAAATATCAATTTTATTTAAGTTTTTTAACCCCCTGTTTTTCAGTGAAGTTTTTTTTAGCTTTTTTGCATATATTTGAATGAATCTAGAACCTCTGTGAAGTTATTTATTTGATTTTTTTCTCTTTACATTTATAATTTCCAAAAACAAGATTCTAGTGTTTCCAAACATCTTAAAATCAGCAATAGTCAATATTATTAATTTATATACCGTTTAATTGTACAATTATTTAATGCATAATCTTTTTCTATTTTTGTTTTTCATTTTAAGTATTTAAATTAAAACCCTTTTTAATTTATTTAGCTATAATTTTAGGTATCTGGTTGTGGATGCTCCAATAATTACTGGCTATTTGTATTTTTCTTTTATTAATCTTGTCTGTAGTAATGTACATTAAATGAGGCTCTTTGTGATGGATGATGTTCTGCTCCGCAGGGCAGACAGGGGGCGATGTGGAGAGCCTGACAGACTGCGACAGCGTGAGAGGACTGGGAGAAACCACTGACTTCCTGAACCTGGTGAGAAATCTATGGATTCTCCAGATGTGGAGCAACGTCACCTTCATCATCCTCATGTCTGTTTTTGCTGTCAGACTCATGTGATGAAGATGGATCCTAGCGACAAAACACTCAGCCTGTCTCCACTGTTGAAGGTAAGCTAGCTGCAGAAAACAAGTTAGCTTCAGAAGGTGAGGTGAGATAACTAAAGTAAGCTAACTGCAGAAGATAAGCTAGTTTCAGACAGTAAGTTAGCTGCTAAAGGTAAGCTAGCTTGGTTTTCTTCATCAGGGTTTCCCTCAGTGTATTATAAGTCTGGTAGACCACCAGGCTTTACTTGTGCCCTGCCAGGCTGAGCGTTGCTTATTTATTTAAGTCTTTTGAAAATATTTGTATTTTTTAAGACTTTATAGGTGGTGTTCAGGTATTAATGTTCAATCTTTCAATAACACATAATTATCAAGTGATATTTTCAAATTTCCTGTCAACTTTAAACATTTTTCAACTCAAAAACACGACGGGCCACTGGATGAATAAGTGCCCCAACGCCCAACCACCGGGCTTGGCAAGTTTTCTGGGGGAAAACCTTGACCATGTTAGCCCTGTTTGGTTCTGTTTCCTGCATGCTCTCCTCTAACGTTTGCCTCTTTCCGTCTTCATGCTGTCTGTGCTGGACAGAGGAAGGGTAAGCATGCTCAGCCAATCAGAGAGCAGAGAAAGGACAGGAAGCTCATGGTTAGCCGGGCATTACACGCCCAGTTCCAGAAGGGCGGCGACACTCACTCTCTCTCCGCCCAGCACAATCAGAACCAGAGGAGGACCAGTCAGAACCAACAGAACCTCTTGTCATTGGATCAGAGCAGGTCGGCTCATAAGAAGAAAGCAGTCAGACAGGCCGGGTCCAAAACCCAGCTGACTGGGACAAAACCAGCTGCAGACTGGGACAAGCATCCAGAACCCAGAAGGAGCGGTTCTAAGTCCGGTCCACCCAGACCAGAGTCCAAAGCTGATTTGCTGACCATAGAGAGCTGTCAGCCAATCAGTGACGAGAGAAACGCGTCCCGCTCCAAACAAAACCCAGATTCATCCAAAAGATCCAAAAACGAGCGAAACAGGAAGGAAGCTGCAGCCCACAGGAAGTGCTCTGGTGGGGGTGCGCTGACCGGTGCCGCCACCCTGGCAGCAGGGGGCGCTGTTCTAGTCCAGAAGCTGGCCTCCAGGAGCCGGGACAGTGCTCCAAAACCAGAAAGTGACCCAGAAGAGCCTGAATCTCTGTCTGCTGGGGTCGGCCGCAACTCGGCCGTCAGCATCAGCGTCATTCCTGCATCAGAGAGTCCACAGCAGGAGGAAGATGAGGAGGAGGAGGAGAAAAAGAAGAAGAAAGAACAGGAGGAAGAAAGGCAGAGAACCAGCTCAGAGGAGGAAGAGGAGACTGGATCTGCTGCAACCCGACAAGAGGAGGAAGAGCAGGAGGAGGAGGAGAACACAGACAGTGAGACTCCTCAACCAGGAGATCAGACTGAGGAAGATGAGAGTGCTGCTGAGGAAGAGGAGGAGGAAGAGGAGGAAACCAGTGGAGCCACAGAGAGTGAAAATGAGAAAGAAGAAAAAGGAAGCAAAGGAGGAAATAGGGAGGAGGAAGAGGAAGAGGAAGGGTCGAGTCAGGATACTCAGAGCAAAGGAGCAGTGACTGATGATGAGGAGCAAAGCAGTTTAAAAAGTGAAGAAGAGGAGGATGACAGTGACACTTTGAAGTCATCACAGGAAACAGAGGATGAAACAAGAAATAAAAGAGATGGTGAGGATGAGGAGACAGAGGAAGAGACAGAAACTGAAGAGAATCATGAAGAAAGTGAAGACGAGGAAGAGGACGAAGAAGAAGAGGAGGAAAAGGGTGGAGAAGAAGAGGAAGAAAGTGAGGAAAGTGAGGAGAAGGAGAAAAGTGATGGTGATGAAGACAAGAATGAAAGTGAAGAGGAGGAAGAGAGTGGAGAAGAAGAGGAAGAAAGTGAGGAGGAGGAGAAAAGTGATGGTGATGAAGACGAGAATGAAAGTGAAGAGGAGGAAGAGGGTGGAGAAGAAGAGGAAGAAAGTGAGGAGGAGGAGAAAAGTGATGGTGATGAAGACGAGAATGAAAGTGAAGAGGAGGAAGAGGAGGATGTTGCAAAGAAGAGGAAAGCTTCAGTGAGGAAGCAGCAAAGCAGCAAATCTGCAGCTGGAGGAAGACGAGGAAGAGGAGTTCTGGGATGAAGTTTTTCCTGCAATGATATGGACCTGAGGGCTTGCTCCTCCTCTGGAGGTCCATGGTGTCAGAACCTCTCAGGTTCAACCCCGAGTCGGGTAAAATAGAGAACTGACGGAGTAGAAACAGGATTTATTCTCCCTTTTTAGGGTAAATTCAGGTAGTAGCAGCCATAATCTGCCCCCATTACAACCAGCAGGATTTTTGGTTAACAGAAGCTTTTGTTTTTCGTACATAGGTCCATAATCTTTACTCTTACGTTCTGTTTATGGTTTACATACGTATTTGTAAAACTTTATGGTTCCTTCCTAGAAATTACACATTACACACTTTACTTGGCCAAACATTAAGAATATTTAGTAAAACCTTCAGGATGTTTCATAAAATTTTCTGGATATTTTCTGAAACTTTCCAGGCGTGAGTCACCTGTTTCGGTAACTTGTAAATTCTGAGAAAGTTCAAGGCAGCTTCATTTCAAGTTAAAGAAAGTTGGATTATTTTTCATAAACATGTCTGTGATTTCTGTGTTTTCTACCTTCAGAGTCATATTTCACAGCTTGATATATAAGTTGTTTTGCTTTTCTTTTTACGTGGTTTGTTTGTGACTTTATTTAACGTCCATATGCTCTTGTTTTCATTGAGTTTTCTGCTTTTTAATAACTCGCTGTGACTTTACTCGCTGTGCCATTTGCTTCCACACTCATGTTTCTCCCATGATGTCGTTCTGTTCAGTTCATCATTCTGCTTTCTTTTGCTTTTTTTTATCTTTTATTATTTCCGCTTTGCTTTTCACTTTTTTGTATCTGGAATTGCTCTTCTCTGTTTTGTTTGGAATAAATTGCTGCGTTCTCGTGTTTTTAACATGTTTGAGTGATTAATAAATAAAAGCTGTAAGCAGGACCGATCAACAGCTCCGTTCATTCTATTATCATGTTCACTTTGTTTCTGTTTTTAGCTCACAGTAAATTCATTTAGTGATAATATTAGTGACTCTGAACAGTCTCCTTGTGGTGCTCCATGAGGGCTACAAAATAGAACCTTCTGATGTGTAAAAAGTTTGGGTTTTTGACTGAAAAAGCAAGCGAGCCAAAATGGGATTCTTCTGGTGAACTGACGCTAAAACCAATTAGTTCAAGCTCTGATTAAATCCAAGTTTTAGATCAGTTTATGAGAAGTCAGACCTGTTGTTGTTCTGATGACTTAATGAGACTCCAGGCTCTCGGATCAACCCAGAAACAAACCAATTTCACCACATATTCTCCTGATTCCAGACTTTTCAGTATCAGAAAGCTATTATTAGTGAGTTGAAGCACCACAGGGAGGCGCTGTAGAGCTCCTAATGTTTTCACCGCCAGAGGAGAGGATTCACAATCAGGTTGGACCACTTTTCTTCTTTCAGCGACCCAGTTTGTGTGCTGGTTACCCCACCTTTAGCCCCAGCTGTGTGTTTCCTCTGCTTGTGTCGCTGTAGGTTGAGTTTCCTAATTCTCTCTGCTAGCAGAGCTCTAGCGATTTCCAGCAGCTCTTTAAAAAATAAAAAACTAATTAAATCAAATGTGTATTTTGTGTTTTATGGCCGTCAGGATGCAGTGGAGACAGCTGAGGAAGAGGAGGACAGAGCTGGTGATGAAGAGCAGACTGGGACATCTTCGTCAGCAGAGAGTCCAGTAAATGTAAGACGTAAGATTTTTTTATTTGTCATTATGTTTCTAGAACATAATGAAATTGGAGCGGTACCCTCAGAAATAGATAAATAAAGTTTGAATAAGTGTTTAGGGTGCAGCAAATGGGTGAGTGTGTCTGCAGGGAGAGGATGGGCGACGGACAGATGGTTGTGGTCTTTATGTATCTATCGTTTCCCAGACGGTAGCGGGACAAGCACTTTGAATGGGTGGAGTCAGTACAACTGGCCTTCCTTTGCCGTCTGCCAGTACATATTAGCTCCAGGTTTGGTAACTGTATTGAGGACCAGGGTGGATGAAGTTTGGTCCTCTATTCTTGCCGCCTGAGGTCGGCTGGTGAGACAGTCTCTGATCCAAAGGCACATTGATGTCAAGAGTCCTCAGCTTCACTATCAGCTTCTCCGGGATGATTGTATTGAATGCTGAACTGAACTGAATATGGCGCTGTGTGTCAGTGTGTGTCAGTGTGTGTCAGTGTGTGACCAGCGAGCGATTCCGACCTCTAACCCATAGCTACTCTGGTCCCTGAAGCTGAACTCAGAGCCAGCTTCACATCCAATCAACAGTGAGCCTGGAGGAGCCACGCCCCCTGAATGCTCTTCACCTGGAGGAGCTGAGGTCAGAGGTCACAGCCCTGCAGCAGAGCAGTCAGGAAGTGAAGCCAAAGCAGTCAATGGAGAAGCAGAGCTCAGCTCTGACAGTGGATCAGGCTCCAGCAGGAAGGTAAGATGGTATGACATCATTAGTGTGACCCGCAGAGCGGTGGACAGACTGTCCCTATGCTTGTCCCCAGCTGGCCGTTTTCAGACGGCTGTCCTCGTCCAGGTCCAGGCAGGCGGGCATGACGCGTTCTGGAGCCTGCAGCCTGCTGTAGGAAACCATCAAACATCTGGGCCGGGTCAGCGGCCGCACCCGCTGGACAGGAGCAGAACTGCAGCAGAACAACAGCTCAGCTTGGTGACTTCCTGACACTCCAGAACCATCAGAACCTTGAAGAACCACCAGACCCTTACAGAACATCCAGGACCTTCCAGAACCCCCAGAAACAATGTTCTGACAGTTAGGTCCACACTCTGACAGGGTTCTGTTCTATGGAAGGTTCTGACCCTGTTCTGTTGAACCGGGCCTGCCGCTCCTCTCTCTGTAGGAAACGTTTCTGCTAATCTCAGGATCACCTCAGCCTCTAATAACTGTTCAGATTAGGATTAAATCGGCCTTCATCTCACTGTTCAAAGGAATGTCCCCCTAAAACAGGAAAACATCCTGACCAGAATCAAATGTTATAATGTTCGAAACAAAAGAGAAGAGTCCCAAAAACAAATTATAATAAAATGAAATAAAACACAAAATAATTCCAAATATTGGAGAGCATTTATTAAAATAAAAGGAAATGGACAAGAACAAGTGAAAAATAAAATAACGCAAATACGCAAAAATAAGGGGGGGGGGGGGGAGACAAGAATATAACAAAGTAATGTGTAATTTTATTATGTCCTGTTTATAGAGATGGTACCGTTTAATCCCTGGACAGCTGGATTAAACAGATCATGACTTGGTGCAAACCCAGTTTAGTTATCAATTACAAATAAAATCATTATTCAGTCTTTATCTCACTAAAACCAAGCAAACCAAACTATAAAACAGACTGTAAACACTTCTATACTCTAATTAATAATGAATTCATTTAACAGCAGCAATATATTTACCAAATATGCAAACATTTTATAACTGGATCTTGTTATTACACAAACTATTACAGTAATTGGTCACACAAAAGAGGAAGCATATCAATAATTTGATAAACTGAACAAATGTTTGCATAAAATATCCGATTTATTCTATTTGGGGAGAATATGACAGGGACATCGTCTAGACTTCATAAATCTCCTAATTCATGATTCAACAGGTTTTAAAACTGTTAGCTTGCCTGCGACCAGTGAGTCATACAAAATTAAGAAATATATATGCCTTAGGTTAGCTAAGCTAAATGTTAAAGGCTTTCAAAGCTTCTTGAAACATGATTTTTAAAGGTCAAAGTTGGACACAAAGTCATGTTAAAGTTGGTAATTAATTATTTTAGACCAAGCTTAAAAAATACTAGAAATACCTGAGAGAATTTGTTCACCTCTTAAAGATGTCCTATTCGAACAAAGTGATTCGTTCTTCTTGTGAAGGCATAGCTAAAGCACGCTGAATCAACATCTATCAACCGGATAAAATGTGGAATATTCCTTTAAACCTGGAACTCAGATGGAGCAGCTCTTTGCTTTATTGTTCAACTGAAATGTATGATGTTTTCCTGTGTGTGTGATTATTTATTTACTCAATCTTGAAGCACATTTTGCACTTTCTCTGGACCCACTTTTATATCCCGACATGTTTTAATCTATTATTTTTTTATATCAGATGTTTTATTGACAGTAAAAAGTTTTGATATGAAGCTGAATGCATTTGTTTTCACTCCTCAGAACAACATCAATACTTTCCTGCCGATCTGCTCCATGATGCGTTGGAATATGTCTGGCGCACGCTTTATGCCAAAGGGTCGCCTCGGCCATCTGAACCTCCCAATAGGGGTGTTGAATGTTGACAGGAAAGAGGATTATTCATCCAACTCCGTCTGCAGGAAGCCTGACTTCACGTCTAATACAGAGACCACTTTTGCATTGGGTATAGTGGATACAACTTCTTCGATTGTGCGCATCGGGTGATATTCCCGTTTAATGGCATGGCTCAGGTCACTTGGATCTATGAGTAATGTTTAAAGTTTACAGGAAATTTTAAAATGCCACTTAATAATTTTGTGTTATTAAAAGATTGGAAGGTTAATCCCTGAACACCACCTATAAGTCTTAAGAAATGCAAACATTTAAAAAAGACTTAAATCAGCAATGCTTAGCCTGGTGGGGGCACAAATAAAGCCTGGTGTCTGCCAGACTTACAATACACTGGTGTTATAAGTCATTATGTTTCTATGTTTCTCCATCAGTATTCTGGTGGGGGAAGCTGTGAGAGCGCTACCATACCAGTAGGTCATCATACCAGTAGGTGGCTCTAAACAATCAGTGTATATAAATTAAAAAACTTATTTTCTTTTTTTATTTCTTGGGTGAAATTTCATCATCTTTTTTTCATCACTGTTAGTCATTCTGAGTTTGTCTTTATGACAACAACCATAGAACTCGGTTGGTTTGTTGACTTTAGTAATGTCGCCATCATTTACCATCGCGCTGAGTTTATTCACTGACTTTGCTCTGAGAGCAACTGGTTGTACCACTGGTTTTGCTTCACCGTTGATCTTTATTGTGTATCTGCCTGCCAGTGCTGCTGCAGTGTGATCAAGTTCAGGAACGTCTTGCAGACCAGCATGCGGGCTCAGGTTTGTGGCGGTGTGGCGAACTGTGCTCACATCGTTTCTCATTGCGCTGTCCTAGCTATTAAGCCCAAGGCCTGGGCTGTTGTGCCACTGAGCATATTCTCTTGTGCAGTGTCCTCTATTTCAAACTTGCTCAGTGTTTACAGGCTGACTGCAGAAATTGGCTTTATTCTGCAATTTGAGTAAGTTATCAGCACTGTTTTGGAACTTTTTAGCTTCCCCCATGTGGTTCAGTGACTGATAACAGTTTAGAGTCAGAGTACTGCATTTTGCACTTGCATCAATACTAAACTGCACTTTGTGAGACTCGACACAAATATCCACCAGCCATGCTACAACATGATACGTTGCAGATGTGTGATTGTCTTTATCGGCATTTACTCTCGTGTTTCTGTTTACCATGAATCCATGCGTCTGTCGCCAGTGTATTGAACTGAATGTAGAAGGTGACCTAATTAGTCATCGTACTGATCCACAAACTCTTCTGAACACGATTAAACTTTGAGGTAGCACTTAGGTTATTTTTAATGCATGAGGGATCACTTTGATGTAAAGCCATCCATCCGATTCCTACACCTGCTTTAACCCTGCTGGTTTGGAGAAAGGGTTTATGGGCGGAGGGTTGCGAATGCCCATCTGGAGGTGTAATTTCTCTAGATCCAGGGTACACTGCAGTCCGTCACAGTACACCACGGAGACAGAAAATGAGCCACTTCCAACTGAGGACAGTCTGTCAGAGGTGATCCAAAATATCAATAATATCAATGTAAGTATTGAATTTACAGCATAATAATACTACTGATGCTTCAGTTTCAGATTATAGTTTCTCAACTCTGCCTCCC